AGGAACAACAACATCATCATATTCAATACACAAGTCATTATAATTCACATCAAGGGCAGCCAATTGCCTTAAGGTTCTATTATCAGCCATTTCAAAATCAAGTTTAGTATCTGAAGCAAACAAGTTATGCAGATAGTCAGACTCAAACTCAGACTCAGACTCAAACACAATGATGGAAAACGATTACTTAAATTTCAGAAAAATAAAATAACACCAGAATTAAGCTAATTAAGCAAAATAACATTTATGAGAATTTTTTCGATTTTTTTCGACTTTATGAAAACAGTAAAAAAATTCATTAATAATAGAAAAAAAAAGAGTTTTTTGGCGATTCTGAGGGTGGATTCCTAGAACTAATGATCGGACGATTTTTCTGCTTCTCGTAGGCAAAACAGTTTTACGATTGGACACAATTTTTCCAAAAACCGATTCTAGTCATAGTTGTGGACTGTTGAATATGTACTTCCTAGGAAGACACAATTTAGTCTATTAAATATTTATTCACTCTTATCAAGACGTGTATTTTCCCATATTTTCCACGATGGGGTGAGTATGGATTGTTTAAGAGGAGGTTTCCTTATTATGGTCGGTAGAGGGATGATGCCCCTTAATAGTGGTCATGGTCTCCTCGCCCTTGGTGGATCTATACAAATATATCACTACAATTGTCTTTTTTTGTTTTGTTTCATTTTGTGTCACTTTTCAGCTTGTTATGTTGTACTCTAAAACTTTTATGCTTTGTTATATTTATATATAGATTTATCTATTTATAAAAAGTCATTTATGTTGGACTTGTGGCATAACACACAAGATTTGGGGGTGAATTGTGTGGTTTAAAAAAATTGTGGTTTTGAGAATCTTTGAGAAATAAAATCAGAGTTTATAATCATTTTTAAAAAAACTTAGCAGCAAAAATTAAAAGCAGAATATAAATTACACAAATTAAAGGAGTTAAGGGAAAAGAAGAACACCAAGAATTATATAGGTTTTGTAAAAATAAAAGGACCTATTCCTCTCTCCAAGAACTGGTCTTGAGAGTATCCAATAAATGTTGAAAGCTTTTAGTAGGAAAGACTCATGAACCCCCTTATACAAGGAAATGATGGTTGACCTCCAACCAAATAAGACAAGACTTCAGAATATGGAATTTTGAGTTTTCTTTTACAAATAGTGAATCCAGACAGTAAGTCCTTTCTCCACAAACAAGGATCTTTGAGCCGTTAGTCTTCAAAATTCTAAATGTTGCAAGCTTTTACATGGGTTGGGGTCATGAACTTTAAACCCTGATTTTACATGGGATATTCAATAATATGTGAGATTTTAACACTGGGATAATCTCTAAACTATTAAGCTTTTAATATTGGGGTGAGCTTTCACCTATCTTGGTTTTATTTTGGGCTGACCAAGAACCTAAGTGATTTTATCACGGATTGATCTCCAACCTAAACTAAGGTTTGACCACACAATCCTCAAACCAAAGCTTTTAAAGGGTTTAGCTATAACTCGTAATTAATCCCTAAATGGATATTATTCAACCAAGGTGTATACAAAAAATTCCCTTGGTGAATTTAAAATTCTATCCTTTTCAAAATTACAAATTTTTCTCACTCATAAAAGGAACTTTCTCACCCAAAAATATAATTAGACAGCGTGAGTGAGAGTTGAAAATTTCAAAATATAATTACGGATAAAATAAAATAAGAAAAGAGAGCTCAATTTATAGGCTAGAGGTTTCCTTAAAAAATAATTTCGAATAAATGTTTCATAAGTTTATAAAAGGAGGGAAAATATTTCTATTCGTTGCACACCATTAAGGCAATGTCCTAACACTACTACAAATAACACTTATAACGTCACACGCGAGAAAGATATAACATCAGCTACCAAGGCGATGTAACGAAGGGTGACATGAAAAGATGTCACTTAACACATCGATTAATAGAAAACCAAAGGGTTCGAACCCCAAAATCTGCATTTTTATTATTTACAAAAAGAGTGTCTCATACCTCTTGTTTTATCCATAAACCGAGGGGTAATATATTATTATTTTAAATAAAACTAGTTACATTATTTACACATAATATTAATAAAATATTTTGTTTACAAACTACAATGTTTACCTATAATATTATATTGCATACACAAAGTATTAAAATAAAAGTTAATTAGTCCATGATGATCATATGTTAGATCTTCAAATCCTGATATTTGGGCAAGATGAAATTATGGGTGCGACTATATTCTCAATGGCTTTACCTCGCATGGATTTGTTTCTGATATAAAATAAAAAAGGGTTGATAGAAAAAAGGTTAGATGAATAAATGATTTTTGCTCAAATAAATAGTTAAGAACACAAACCTTAAACCGAAATAATTTTCCGCTCTTGCATCCATCTTAGCGATCTTTTCATGGAAAATGATCTTGCAAACTCAAAGAGGTGGATGTAGATATGCTTCAAGCGCTTCATGATGCTTCACTTGCTTCTTCACATTTAAAAATATGCTTTTATAATGGAAGTTTATTATGTTTCACATGGATTACTAATGATAGTGTCTTGAGTGTTGATATATCATGAAATGAGCGACATATTTTTTATCAACATAATCACTAATAATTTGTTATGTTTTATTTAGGTAAAATACTTTAACCCCCGTTTTAATAGAAAACCAAGGTAAATAACCTTTAATTTTTTTTACAAATAAAAAATATAATAAAAAAGAAAGGTTTCTGGATTTTTCATTCCTAGTTTTCTCCTAGGTTATATGAAAAAACCAAGGTAATATGTTGTTTTTATATTATTTTTTTTTAAAAGTAATGACCATCGCGCCTTGAAATTATATCACTAGAATAGTTATGATCATTCTTATTCAAAACGTAACATATCTTTTGGATTTTCAATGAGGCATTTGTGCTTTTCTGATTGTTTTACTTCCTCTTTTACAATTTATTTATACATTATTCAGGTATCATTTCATTTCCATCTCTATGTGTCTTCAAATATGTTTAAAAGTTTTTTCTTTTTATTCAAAAAATATCTACAAAAACTTTAACGGAGATGAAAATCTTTTGTTCGTCAATGAAAAGTTTATTAATTTCGAAGAGTTGAAAGACAAAGGTTTTGATTTGATAAAACTATTTTCAAACATAATTTAAAAGGTTACTTTAACATGCTTCATGGACCCATCTATATTAATCTAGTAACAAAGTTCTAGTTAAATGTCTCCGTTAGGCAATCTTGTGAGGATAATAAGTCAATATAGTCAAATGTATATGGCTTTCCTATCACCATTACTCTATCACTTATTGCTCAGATAATAAATTATGGAGAGAAAGGTAGTTGTGTTAAACCATATAGATTCAACAATGTCTTCTTAAACTATCTTCTACTAATTTATGCCAACTACAATAACCTCACCAATCATGCTACTCTCATCCCAATTGCAAAAGTTTGGTATCAACTTCTAGTGTCAAATCTCTGTCCAAAAGAAAAACAATTAGAAACGCTTACTTTAGATGACAATCATCTTTTGTATTTCCTAATCCACAAGATCAAAATTAATCTTCCTCTTATTATTTTTAACTTTTTAATGAAAATGGTTGAGACCTCTTGCGAGGAAATAACTTTCCTCGTACATATGGAAGAATTCTTTCTAAACTTTTCTCTCATTTTAGAATAGTTAACAAGGTAAAAAGAGCAGGATTAAAAGTTGAAGTTGAGTTGAGTCAGAAGTTTGAATATGTCGAATAGTTATTTGTTGTCCTGTTTTTTGAGTATCTGTTGTTTTATTTCTCTGATTATCAATGAAATTTTTGCTTTTCTTTTCAATTGTATTATTGCGTAATTTTTTCTATTGATAAAACAAATTTTTTGTTTTACTAATTAATTTAAGAAAAATTTAACAAAAAAAATTAACAAAAAATAAAATAAAATCTGGAAAGATGGCAAATTGAGAAATACTAATTAAAGCATTGAAAAAAACATAAAATATGATAACTTGGATTCAAAGCGTCCCTAATATTTATATTCCTTCGGTTTTTTCAAAAGACCGCGATAATAGATTATAGTAAAAATACAATAGCGTTTCTTAAAGATATTTTCCCTCGATTTTATGGATAGTCGAGATAAAAAGGTAGTTAGCATGACGCTATCAAGAACTATACTCTCGGTTTTTAGCAATACGAGGTGAAAACTTCGTCATAAAAAATGTTATTTGTAGTAGTGTAATCGTTTGGGACTCGATTTTGAATTGAGCTAATCGATTAGACAAAAGTCTCAATCGATTCTATAATTAATCAAAATTTCTCCTATAGATATTTTGACAGTACCTACTTCAACGAGCACAACTTTGAGATGTTTTTGAAGATATTTTCATTGGTAAAAACAATTTGAAAATATATTTTAGTGTGCGTGTGCGCTTTAGCCATGCGGTTTTATGATAAAGCCCTTTTGCATTACAATTGTTTCACTCACTACTAAAAAGGAGAGTCCTAAGCACTTAAAGATTTTGCTAGATACTTTCTCTTTTGTTGAAACTTGATTGTGTGGTTTTGAGATGAGACTTTAGTTACATTTCATTTGATTTCTATCATCGAATAGTCAAGTCCTATAAAATTCTAATGTTTAGATTTGTATCTTTATCCGCTTAACCGTTCATGCTTTACTTATCATAAGACTCATCATCAAAAATTGATATTTTTTATAAAAGTATATAACATATAAAACAAGGTTCCGGAGATCCCTTATATGTCATGGGTTAGTTTTTTAAAATATTTCTATTTATTTTACTAGTTTATCTTAATAAACTCAAAGATTGAATAAAATAGTAACAAGAAATTTATTCCAGTATCTTACATAAATCACAAACACTCCCCAAATGTGGGGTATGAAATAATCTATATAAATGTAACTCCAATACAATACAATAGCCACACTACAAAAATATATAATAACAAGTAACAACCTATATAGGTACGTTTGCATGATATTCTCAACGCAAAGTCTAGTAGTATTTTATAGCAACAAATCCAAGTGTAATCAATAAAACAGAAGGTGAAACATTGTAAGATGCCACTGCAGAAGAAGGAGTCAGAGAAGTGCGACCACTTCCTGTTGTAGATGTAGATGGGGTACCAGAATCAACGGATGGAGATGGTGGATTCAAAAGAGGAACCTTTGTGTTTTGTTGTGGTGCCAAGGGAGATGAAGTTGGTGAAGGAAGGTCAGAAGATGCTGATCATAGAAAAAATAAGAGTTTGATATTAGTAACACATTAGAAATGCATAAAATGGATTAATGCATTAATAATTGATTAAAGTGTAATAACCTTGAGGACTAGGAGTTGGAGTAAATCCTGAGAGACCTGAAGGAGTTGATGCAGGTGAAGGAGATGGTCCTAGAGCCACTGGTCCTATGAATAATACGACAAAATCATGTAAAATTTTAGTCAAAATGAAAAAAAAGTGACAACGCTTCTTAGAATTTCGTACCTGACACATGTGATTACATTCAATTTGTAATTTTTTAAATAATTATTTGTGTCATAGAATTTTTAAATAATTATTATTTAAAGGATTATCATATAATTTTTCTGCAAAAAATATTGAAATTGAAAATTTGGCATTACCAGGAGCAGGAAGTGGTGAAGCAGAGGCTGCAAAATAAGAAAATTATCAACTTAGCTTTACTAATGAAAATAACAAAATTTACACTACAAAGTTACAAACAAAACAAAAAACATGAAGGACTTCTTTTACCTTTGCATTGAACGGGAACACCGGGCATCTTGCACGCGCGAGGGAGAGAGACGGCCAACGTTCTATTGATCGGAATCTTGAACGGAACACTGGCGGTAACGATGAGACACAAACAGTCCATGCCACCACTTGTGAGAGACTTAAGAGCAGTACAACATTGAGTGGTTGGTGAAGTGCCATTAGCACTACTATTTGTAAGGAAACTCATACAAGGTGTGAAGAGAGTGCTTAGTGTTGAAGGGTTACATGGAGTATTGATTTGTGCACAGGTTGGTCCAGCTATGAAAATATTAATGGACAAAATTATAGCTAGGTGAGATAGAGTCATAGAATTTGCCATTTGTAGTTTTGTAGAATCTAAGAGAAGTTTTGAAGTTTAAGATTAATATTGAGTTAGAGAAGGAGATGAATAAGTGGATTTATAGGTAGAAAGTATTGATAAGAAAAGTGAAGATTATTATGTGTCATTCATGGTTGGTTTAGAAGTTCAACTAACTTATCTAATCAAATGCAAAATGAAAGAGTATAACTGATTTAAGTAGGTAAGATTGGCATGTTGTGGACTCTAAATAACACACTTAGGCTAGGAATTTTTATTTAAAAATTCATTAAGTTGCATAAAAAATGTCCAACTTTGAAAATTGGTTAAATCATATTATTATTTATTAGTTCACCTACATCGGTGGATAATGTTTTAATTTATACCATCTAGATTCCTATTTCCTTCTTTCTTTCTTTTAGGGTCTATTCATCTCTACATTTGTTTTTCATTTGTTAATATCTTAAAGCCTTTTTTTATCCCTTGCAATTTCAGAAAATCATTTTTGAAAATAAAATATGATTTTTTTTTATAGAATCGTTTTTGTTAAAAATTATTAACATAGAAGCTACGTAACATAAAAACCATATATTTATTTTTGTGATGGACCGCACAAAAAGCCCAATAAAGAAGACTTAGGATCGAACACAATTAACAATTATATAATAAAAAGGAGGACCTTTTGCTCTCAAGCATAAAAAATCTCAATCTTTAGTTCATCACGTATTGTCCTAATCAATTAAAGGGTCATGAACATGATATGTCATGTTCTACGTGAAACAATTATAAATGTCTTTGTTATATAAAGAGAGAATGTGTCATTTTACATGTAATTCAAATTCATCTCCACTCTTTATTATTTTTTATTTTTTCTCTGACTTAAGCATTGGAGTGTTAACCTTACAAGTACACCTCTACGACTCCGTACTGAAAAGCTTGGTGTATCCCATCAGAAGTCCAATCACTGATCCATCTCGGATTCTTGGTTCCCTCCTCACCTGAAATAAAGTTCTACAACTCTTATTTTCTAAGTCTACTAGATCTACCAAGGTCGCTGCAGCGGTGGAAGCAACCAAGAATCCTGCTCTTGATCCTCCTCCTCCTCCAAGATCGGATCATTTAGTGCCGGTAACTTCGTCATTATATCCAACTAACTCAAACGCAATTTCTTAGAGAGTCGTTCAAGGAGTATCTCAACCTAAACATGCACCGTTTTTCTCCTCGGTTCAAACTTTTAATTAAGAAGAAATCTGATGTATCTTTTGGTACTAATATGCTTCTCCAAATGTTGGGTTGATCAAAAATTATTTTTAAGCATAAGCATTTGTTTCTTTTGCGCTGCGACAATACACATTTACTTCAAAGATACCTTGCCTAGCATCTTTTTATTTACTACACCACTTCATATGAAACTTCCAGTCATAGTTGTAAAAATAAGACCAGACCGACCGGTGGTACTGTTTGAACCGGGAATCAAGCCAGTAACCGGTCTGTTTCACTAGCTGGACCACCTTTTCCGTCAGACCGATAAGAAACGGTAAAAATCAGGTTGGACCGCATAAAACCGAAGAACCGAAGGTTTCTGTATACCGGTGATTGTGAAGCATTTTTTTTAAACTTTAAACCAAAACGACGTCGTTTTGAGTTTTTTAAATTTTAAAAAAAAATGAAAATTGTTGTTTCCAAACTGAAGAAGCATCACCGCGTCATTTCGTCCCCGACCGCCATGTCGTTCCGATTCTGGTTCCGACATCGTTTCCAGGTTCTACGTTCTTTCATTGTTTGATTATAATATGTGTTAAATATTAGGGTTCAAATTGATTTGAAATTGCAATTGAATATAGCATATTGTGACATAATGAAGTAATGAATTGTGTTTTTAGTGTGTTTTCTTCAAACTATGACATTACATAATTAAATAATAAACTTTGTTTTTCTATGTATATCCCATAGTCTTATGTACCATAATGTTAGCATTCAATTGTAGTATTTAGCCTATTTATGATCCCTTTGCTTGTTGTTCTATCGTTAAATCTTGTGTGTGAATATTTGAGAAGTTCTCCATAACTGAGTAGGTATATTTGATACTTTCATACACCACCCTTATTTTTGATAGAGGCATACATGGTTTTGTTCAAAATACAATGTAATTAGTTTCCCCTTTCTAAGCATCATTAGAATTCATTGTATTTGTATCATTGGGTTCGATGCATTCTCAGATTCTATTTTTCTTAGGACTTTGTGGTAGTTTTAATTTATCCTCTTGTAAAGTGTACTTAACGTGTATATAAATATATGATTTTGTTAACTGTAGCATTAAAAGAAAACCTTTCTCATTTTGCCACCCAAGTCCTTAAGTGGTTTCCTAGTGAGGGCTCCATTCATGTACATATATACAAACCCATAAAATTTTGTCGGGGTTTTCTTGTCTGCTCTTCAGATATGCAGGGTCATCCCATATTAGTTTTAAGTTCACCAATAAGATTATTTAAATGTTCTCAATTCCTCTTTTGATTAATTACATGCTTCATCCTAAAAATCATATTACATGTTTAGATCTACTTGTAATACCCCAAATTTTGCCCCGAGATTTAGGTTCATTTCACTTCACTTTTGCATTGCATTTAACTAATCACTAACAGGTTTGTGTAGTTTGCTGATTTTGCAGGAAAATATCATGTGGCGCGCTTTTTAGTTCATGAAGGGTAAAATGGTCATTTGTACGCAGTCGGCCGTCAAATTACAAATTTTAAGTTGTAGTCAGGAAATCTGAGTCGTTGGATTGTTGATATGAGTCGGGGCCGAGGTGTAGTTGGAACTGTTCGACTGAGAAAGAGTTGAGCTGTTCGAAAATAAATCGATTCAAGTTTTGGACTGGAGTTAGCCTGAGATTACGATCATTTGAGTTTAATAAGACAGTTGAGTTTATCCGGATAAAGTTGCTCATTTGAATGGGCGGGAGATTTAATCGGAAGTTATGTCGAGAATGAGATTAATCGGTTAAATTGGAAATTAGGAATTAATGGAAAAATATAGGATTTCATTTCATTCCTCATTTTATTTTAGGTTAATCATATTTTGTTTTATTTTTCATTTTTTATGTTAAAAAAAATTATCTTATTTCTTAATATCATTTGCACTTCATTTTAAATCAATTTTATTGCATTTTCAATTTTTAGTATTGCATTTTAAATAATTTTTGTTTTAGTCTAAAATATTGTTTCTACTTCATATTTATTTTTATAACATGTGCTCTCATTTCCATTTTTCCGTTTTTTAATATTTTTGTTTCATTTTAATTTTAATATTTCATCTGCATTTCAAAAATAAATAATGAATAAATAAATTAAAGAATTTTATTATTAACAATATTTCTTTACAAAAAATATATAAATAAAATTACAAAAATAATAGTTACATATTTTCTAAACAACTCTTAAATTTTTTTCGATTTTTCTTCATTCCAATTCCGAGCTTCCAATTTTTCTTTCGAACCTACGAAATGAACAAAACAAGCAAATTTAATCGGTTAGATTTTTTCCGACACCCTCATAATAGTATCATCATCGGGTGTCGGGAGGGTAACGGATTGCTCCGAAACCAACTCTTGACTTTATTTCTGACCAAAGGCTAATATCGGAAATTTCCGTTCTTATTCCGAGGCAACCGAGAGAGAGATAAAGAAGTGCTTTTGAAAAAGATGGTTTGAGAAAAGTGCTTATCCAAAAGTGCTTATTGGAAAAGCACTTATTTGAAAAAGTGTTTTTTAGAAAAAGGGTTTGCCAAACATGGCCTTAACGCTTTTTCTAGAAATTTCTCAAGTTCAACGGATCCAACGAACCAACAGCCACATTCAAACAAAACAATAACAACCAACCGCGAAATTCGCAAAATCAAGAAACAAATATTTCCGGGAAAAAACGGCAACAATTTCTGAATCGAAAAACCCAGGTCAACAACATTGCAAGCACAATGTATCCACTCAGGAAAACCGTCAAATGTTCCAACTTCCATCCTGGAAAAATCAACTCAAACCAACCGATAAAATATTCATAAGTCCTGGAAAGAGTGCAAGAAAATCGTAAGTCGTAACATGTACATCCAGGCCCACAAATCAGCATGAACGAATCATATAAAAGGTTCAGATCGAACCCTAAGCAGAGGAGACAAAAAAGCGGCACCGCAAGAACGCCGAGGAAGGTTCAGAGAAACCCCTCACGATTTCATCATCATCACCTTCGGCCGTACTCAGAGAGAAGTCAGAGATTTGTCCTCATCACCATCATCGCCGGCCGCGATCCAAAGTAGAAGAGAAAGAAGTCCGAAGTAACTGAAGATCACCGCAAAGCCAAGGTATTACGGAGCGGCGGCCGTGAAGCTCAGATCGGAGCATCATTGTTCATCTTTGGGTGAGAAAGTTTTTTCGTATTTCACCAATCGTTGTTTGTGTTTCAGGAATAGAGGGAAATCGAGTGCATGCAAGAAGAAAAAGGAAGCGAAAAGCTTCGGAATTGACAACAATGGCCGTCGTCGGTGTTTAGAGGAAGAAGGAGAGAGGGTTCAACGAAACCCTAGAAGAAAAGGGGCTTCTGGAAACACAACGAGACCCTTTCCCTTTATCAGTTTTGTTTTTTCTTTTTCATTTTTTTTTATCTTATTTATTTCTTTAATGATTTTTTAATTGCTAACTAAGTAATGTTAATGACTTTTAATTTAGTTTTGTTTAATAATTTTTAATTAGTAATGTTTAAATAACTCATAGTTAGAAATGTTTTTTTAAATTTAGAAATAATTTTTTAATAACTTTTAGTTTTGTAAATATTCTTAAATAACTAATAATCGACTTATTATTTTATATAACTATTAATAAACAAAAATTAAAACATTTTTATATTGAAAGTAAAACCTTCTTAATATTAAAAAGTAAAGCTTTTTTTTAAAATTAAAACATTTTTTTCATATTAAAATTAAACATTTTTCATATTAAAATTAAAATATTTTTAAACATCAAAATTAAAACT